GAAAAGAATGCAAAGCTCTCCGTGAACCTACACCCAGTGTTGTTCTCTGAATGAGTGTATCTTATGTCTTCTCGCATAAAGACGAACTCTCGGCTACTGGTCGTGAAAATACGAGACAGGTTAGGGTTTTCCTCCCTAACGCACCTCCACCTCAACTTGACATTATATTTACTCTACGCTCTCAACCCTCACCCTGAGGTCAAAACTAGCTTTACAGAGCAACATGGAATACTTATTTCTTTCATAAAATCAAAATCATCCGCATTCCGAATTCCTGACAAAAATTTCACTATTCCGAAGGCTTTCTCGTGTGACGTAGCATTGATTGGGGCCTCGCTTTTGCTTTGGGTAATAAAATATGTTATTCCTACACCACGAACCGATCGAAGCTGTTGGAAGCTTGGCTTATTCTAATGTACCTAATGTTGTGGGGTCGCTAAGACGTCACGGTCCGCACGGGCTCAATAATATTAATTCCAACATACGCGAATCAGAAATTATGAAAATCAACAGAACTAGTTGCTTTGAAAGGCGATGGTGGCGACAATCATGTCTCACTTGCATGTTAAACTATATTGATATTTCAGTTTCGTTCAGAAAGCTTTGAAAATTGCATTCAAATAAAATACATGCATGTATTTAATTCAAAATGTGGACCTATTTTAATGAGAACGAAGACTGGTGCTTTCTATTGAGAAAGAAATGGCCATAGCTTGTAACTAATATTGATTTATTGATAGCAGTGGCGTTGTCGGGGAGAGCAAGCAATGAAGAGGACTGTAGTATGGTGGTGGTGGTGGGGATCCTGGTGTTGATATGAAAGAAAACACGCCCAGAAGCTGACGCTAGATCAATACGTCCGACCTTACACCGTATTTAACCTTGTAAAAGTTCTCTTCATGAAAAGCATAAATCAACCCTTTTGTGTGCGCGCGAACGACGCATATTTCAATATTTTGTCGCCCCCACAATGTTTTTTCCTTGAACACCCGCACAAATAGACACAACAAAAATGCAAACACATTTAACTAAGTAAATTTATACAAGTAAAAGTTATTCACTTATTTGCCTACCCAAAGGTTAAACATCATTTCATGGTTTTCTCTTTTTGGTTTATTCTCTAGATATAACTTATACATGCCCACCGGCAAATTAAGGTCGTCCTAGCTTCAATAAAAGAATAAACCAAATGCGGTAAGTTAAATATATCGTTAGCTTCATCTAAGAATTTAACCTTTGTTCTTTATTCCTGTTAGTCAGTTATTGCACAATTAGCTAATCTGTTAAAATGTCAATCCTCGTTGATATTTCTTAAATAAAAGGACTAAGTTAAAAGTTTTACGTGTCGAAAGTTCATTTCGTTGTTATTTTCATTAACTTCTATATGCATACTATATTTGAATAGAGATACCTCGGCCATATGTTGCTTATGCCAAAACCCATCAACTGTTTAAAAAGGGTGCAAGGACATGTTTTGAAATAACGGAGAAATCAGACCATAAAGAACAGTTACATTGTCGTGTCTGTCGTATTTGAACAACAAATAAACAGTCGGCCTAAATGAACAAGTTGTGCAGTGTATGTTATCACCGACTCCCTTTATTGTTAATCTTTCACTATTATGAATTGTAGAACGAAAAGGAGCCGCATGAAAAGTTTAAATGTACCACTCAAAATAGTTTTGAAAAAGTTACCAGTCATTTGAAAAAACGATATTCAGAATTTCCTATGAAATTAGAAGTGAGATTTTTTTTGTACATAGACCAGCAAATCCAGAGACTTCATATACAATTTTACTGACTTAATGAAAATTAAAGTACATGCATTAATTGCATAAAATGATGTTTGCAGGTATCGTCCTTTTTTAGTCATATTAATTATATACTGATTATAGGCATTGAGTTAGTTCCTGAGTCATGTAACACGATGCTCTCTCTCTCTCTCTCTCTCTCTCTCTCTCTCTCTCTCTCTCTCTCTCTCTCTCTCTCTCTCTCTCTCTCTCTCTCTCTCTCAAACACAATTTGCCCGCCCTCGGGTCAAACAGGATTGCGCATGTAAATAGCTTGATACTGACCTTTACCTTGATACTGACCTATAGGCCTATCAGTCACGACTTGATACTGACCTATATCATAATCATCACTTGATACTGACCTATATCAGTCATGATTTGATAGTCACTCATATCATACTTTTGACTTGATACCGACCTACAACAGTCATAATTTGATAATGACCTATATTATAGTCATGACTTGATAGTGACCTATATTGTTGACATGAATTGATATACCGCCCTATATCGAATTCATGACTTCATACTGACCTATATCATAGTCATGACCAGAACCGGATTTAGGCATAAGCTAAACAAGCTACGGCTTAGGGCCCCAAAGTGTGAACTCAGTCTGAAGGAGCTCCTCAAATTTATTTTAAAACCAAATATGGCCTCTATAGCTTCCCATAGCTTTTAGCCTCGCTTTGTCTAAATCCGGCACTGGTCATGACTTGATAATGAGCTATATCAAAGTCACGACTTGATACTGATATATTGTATTCATGACTTGATACTGGCCTATATCATATTAATTACATGATACTGACCTATATCATAGTCATGACTAGAACCGGATTTAGGTATAAGCTAAACAAGCTACAGCTTAGGGCCCCAAAGTCTAAACTCAGTCTGAAAATATGGCCTCTATAGCTTCCCATAGCTTTTAGCCTCGCTTTGTCTAAATCCGGCATTTGTCATGACTTGATAATGAGCTATATCAGAGTCACGACTTGATACTGACTATATTGTATTCATGACTTGATACTGGCCTATATCATATTAATTACATGATACTGAGCTGTATCAGTCATGACGATACTGACCTATATTATAGTCATGACTTGATACTGAGCAATATAAAGGTCATGACTTGATACTGACCTATATCACAGTCATGACTTGATTCTGACCTATATCACAGTAATTACTTGATACTGATCTATATCATAGTCATGACTTGATACTGGCCTATATCACAGTCATGACTTGATACTGGCCTATATCATAGTCATGACTTGATACTGGCCTATATCACAGTCATGACTTGATACTGGCCTATATCATAGTCATGACTTGATACTGGCCTATATCATAGTCATGACTTGATACTGACCTATATCACAGTAATTACTTGATACTGACCTATATCATAGTCATAACCTGATTCTGGCCTATATCACAGTGATGACTTGATACTGATCTATATCAAAATAATGCCTTGATACTGACCTATATCACAGTAATGAATTGATAGTGATCTATATCAGAGTCATGACATGATACTGATCTATATCACAGTCATGACTTGATACTGACCTATATCATAGTCATGACTTAATACTGGCCTATATCATAGTCATTACTTGATACTGACCTATATCACATTAATTACTTGATACTGACTTATATCATAGTCATGACTTGATACTGGCCTATATCATAGTCATGACTTGATACTGACCTATATCACAGTCATGACTTAATAGTGATCTATATCATAGTCATGACATGATACTGATTTATATTATAGTCATGACTTGATACTGGCCTATATCATAGTCATGACTTGATACTGGCAAATATCACAGTCATGACTTTATATTAACCTATAACGTATACGTAAAAGATGACTGGAGTAAAGGATGGACGAATGGATACGCATCGAAAGACAGGAAAAAACGAACGTAAAAAATATAAAGCATTTGTGCTCCATCGGTTCCAGTGTACCGTTGTGCAGGTTGGATATGGTCGTAATCTGTAATGAATCTATTCAATATAGTTTGAATGTATTCAAGTCGTTGTGAGAAGAACATGCCGGTTGTTAAGTTTTGCCGTCAAATATTTATTATATAGTATTGATTAATGCTAAAATCGCAATTCTGGCGAGAAAATATTTGCCATTTCGCAGAGGAAGAGGAGATTCCATACCTATTTGCGAATGATTGGCTTTTTTTCGATTGAGCATATACGCTGGGCTCGTGCTCCAGGTCTCCTACTCATGGAGTTTCCCTGAATGCAGTGGATAAATTACGTGTTTAAATAAACCGGATATAGGTTTAAACCATCAAATAATTAGCCTAATATATATATATATATATATATATATATATATATATATATATATATATTTATATATATATATATATATATATATATATATATATATATATATATATATATATATATATATATATATATATATACATACATACACACTAATTATACACCAATAATGGACATTATAAGGACTGCAATCGGGTTGTATTTGCAGATCTATAAGGGTCCTCTATCTCAACAGTCCCGGTTCCTTCAAAGCAAATACGCCGGCAATGATTAAGTTATACGTAACAGCTCTCCACCTCTCTCTCTCTCTCTCTCTCTCTCTCATATATAAATATATATATATATATATATATATATATATATATATATATATATATATATATATATATATATATATGTATGTATGTATGTATGTATGTATGTGTGTGTGTGTGTGTGTGTGTGTGTGTGTGTGTGTGTGTGTGTGTGTGTATGGTTTATATTAAAACTCCTCCCCAACCCCCAACACACCAAAACCCTCGTAATAATGTTACATTGATTAACTTTGTTTTTAAGGATTTGACCCCATTCTGCCGTTATCTTTGCGGTGTATTCCTTTTGGGGGACAAACTTTCTCGGTACTGTACAACAATGACTGCAGATGTGTCGTTAAATTGTCACTTAGTGTTTCACACCAGTGACATTACAATGATTCCATTTCTCTCGTAAAATATATCCGTATATCTACTAAAATTAAAGTGGATATCCTCTATTTAAATATCTGTTATGTAGTCATTAAAAGAAAATAAAAGATCAAGAACATGTACGAAAAGTGTCATCCCCCCCAATATTTAGTTTCAAGTCACAGTAATAATAATAAACATTTACTTCTTTCAACGACAGCTCCGGTGGTCTAGTGGTTTGAGCGTCAGCCTGGAATGCGGGAGGGCGCGGGTTCGAAACCCAGACGAGTCATACCAAAGACTGATATCAAATAGAACAAACAGCTGCCTCGCGTGGCACTAAGCATTAAGAGGTTAGTGCTATGACTGGTCGGTCTAATATCAGGATTATGAGGCCGGGTTACTGGGGTTATTGCTACATGTCTGTAGCATGATGAATCAGTGCTAGACAGCACTATCAACTGTCACATTGTAGCCATCGTAGCGATATGACTGAAAAATTACCAAGGCTATGTTAGGAATCCAAATCACACACTTCTTTCAACTTCACTTCGCATATATTTCAATATCATTTTTTTGTTAAATTTCAGTTGAAAAAAGTGCCATCTCCCTTATTTAGTTTCAAGTCATAATAAAAATAATACACATTTACTTCTTTCAACGATCGCTCCGGTGGTCTAGTGGTTTGAGCGTCAGCCTGGAATGCGGGAGGTCGCGGGTTCGAAACCAGGACGAGTCATACCAAAGACTGATAACAAATAGTACAAAGCAGCTGCCTCGCGTGGCGCTCAGCATTAAGAGGTTAGTGCTATACTGGTCGGCTTAGTATCATGATAATGAGACCGGGTTACTGGGGTTATTGCTACATCTCTGCAGCATGATGAACCAGTGCTAGACATCACTATCAACTGTCGCAATGCATCAATCGTAGCGATATGAATGAAAAATTGCCAAGGCTACGTTAAAAATCCAAATCACACACTTCTTTCAACATCACTTCGCGTATATTTCAAGATTTTTTTTGGGTTAAATTTCAGGTGTACATGAATCATGAATGTTCTACATCTATTGAAACTTTTCTAATCGAGGGATAATTTATTCATTTAAATAAAGTTGATGACGCGGTGGTGAAAGAAATTATAATTTTTACGGGTCTTTTCCATGAAACTTTACCAATTTAATAATATATTTTATTTGCTAGTATATTATGTTTCTTCGGTCCATAAAAAGAATCTTACGCACGCAGAAATAGTACAATGCACTTTTTTGATCTGATGTCTAGTTAATCTCGTGTACTTTACAATTTATTTATATAAGTTTGAAGAAGAATAAAAAAATATATGCACCTGTGGAGGCTTATAATTTGCTCTGTAACGTGCGTGTCTGTGTGTGTGTGTGTCTGTTGTCTTTTAGTATATAACGGAAGCAGGAAATGTGATTTTGATTTTTTTTCCATTGTAAGTGTAGTTAATCTTGATATTGTTATTAGGAAAATTTTTAAGAAATATCAACTTTAAATAATGCATAAATTCAATCGTAGCCTGAGAACCAATTAGTTGTTCGACAGTTCGTAAAGGAAGGCATCCTAAACCGTGACAACAAGTGAGCGGGTTGACAATCCGTCAAGGATGAATAAAAGCCGCTGAATCGAATGACATAAGTGGAATTGTTATGTCAGATCAGGAAAATCGCATCAGTTTTCTGCATGAGTAAAATTGTGTACTTTTCATAGAATAAATTGTCTACGTTAAATTAAAAGTTTCTTTTACAAAGTGAACAACTCCAAATGTATTATATATTATTATAAATTCTCTATTAAAAGTCAATGAAAAATACTTCCGGACTTCAAAACAGGGATAGTATGCTTTGTATCATCCACCGATTAAATTTAATCTAAAGACACAAGCTTTGGAGCTTCCCCTTAGGTATCGAACGTTGCCTTCCCATAAAGTAACTCGTACTGTGTCGTTTGTATCCAATCAATATATTCCAAAGTGAAACACGTGACACAAGTTATCTCTACTAGGGCGGGGAAAGTTGAACTGTTCTTTTGTAAGCATTTTTTAAAATAAATTCTTCTGAAGTGTTGAATACGATAACTCTTTCGATTAGTTTCTCTCGTGTTTTAACGTAAGATTTAAATAAATCATGATACAATCCAGATTCTGTAACTTGCAACGATAACAGTTCTCCCACCTCTCTCAATTTTATTGTTGTTGTTGTTGTTGGTAATAGTAGTACTAGTCAAACAAGATAAAAAGTAATGCGTTTATTCTCAAAAGTAATGCGATTAAATTGCAGCAACAATATTTTTTTTTAATAATCCAGAACGTATTATGATTATTCGCAAAAGTTTGGTCATTTATTCGCAACACACTTTCTTTAAGTGTTTTCTCACTTTTGTCACTAATGGACTGTAGTAGTAGTAGTAGTAGTAGTAGTAGTAGTAGTAGTAGTAGTAGTAGTAGTAGTAGTGCAGCCTGATACACTGAACATGTTGGTATTAATGTGTTAGTTTTCTGTCTTCTTTCAGTATTCCTAGCTGTTAGTTTTCTTATCTGTTTAGGTGTGTAATGATTTATAAAGAAAGGTGCAAAAAGCGTATTTGTCTTTGGGCATTTATTCAAAAACGTTGAATGAAGAGATCATACCGTGGGGGGGGGGAGAATAGTAGTAGTGACCGTCATAGTAGTGGATACAAAAGATTCTTAGATAGAAGAAGAAAGGTAGAGAAACAGCAGCAGCATATGTAGAGATGGAGAGAAAAAAGGCAGATATACTGAGGACCAGGAGGAGGAAAAGTTCATCCACATTGAGACTCACCGTCAAATTTAAGAAATAAATGGGAGAATCCATTAATTTCTGAATCAAAGACAACAACAAGTATTTATAGATCTAATATGTATTAAAATGCATGGGCGCCCGCAAAATTATTTTCTGGGAGAACTGAGAGCAAGCATTTAGTGGTCAACTATTATGTTTCACGGATGTAGGCCAAAATATGTCTAGAGGTTAAATGGGGTGGGGGCTAAGTTACCTCCCTTTCTAGCGAAGGCTTGCCGCTCTCGGCATTGTACTATATACGGAATCAAGCTGAATGAAAATTTTTGTATCTGATTAAAAATTATTGTAAGGACGCAGTTTTCCAGCAATTCAAATTACGTGTCAGACGTATTTTCATCACCAACAATATCAGCTAATCTTCTTAAGTTTACATCAAAGGTTTTTTTGTTGTTTTTTATGTTGTTTTTTTTTTTTTAGAAAATGTTATTAAAATTCCTGCTTGGGAAGATAATTCATATGGTTGCGTTCACACAGTGTCGTGCTTTGTATAGGGTTCAAATTTAAAAAAATAAAGAATTTCCAAGATTTTAATCGCTGGTTTTCTAAAAAAAAAAATACGACCTTGCATATCTTAGGTATTGTTAAAAACTTTTCCTCATTTACTTTATTTAGGTGTATGATTAATTGGTATAATTCGGGTTATAGAGTGTACAGCTATCTCCTATTGGTCATTTTCGACAGCTACGGTGGCTTAGTGGTTAGAGCGTTCGCCTCGAATGCGGGAGGTTGCGGGTTTAAATCCCGGCCGAGTCATACCAAAGACTTTTTCAATTGGTACTAACAGCTGCCTCGCTTGGCGCTCAGCATTAAGAGGTTTTTGTTAGGACTGGTCGACCTGGTGTCAGGATAATGTGACTGGGTGGGACATCATGCCACATGTCTGCGGCATTATGCCCCAGTGCTAGATATCACTGTAAATTATCATACTGCAGACATCGTAGCGATATGACGGAATAATAGTTAAAGCTACGTCAAAAATCAAAATTCCACACACACTTCGTCATTTTCACTCCATAGACTTCAAGATAAATTGTAAAAGAAAAAAAATAAGCTGATGACACTTTTTACTTTACAAATATTTTGGAATTTATTCATACATTACACTTTTAAAGGCTTGCATTGCCCAACTGGTAAATTAAGTTTGTTTTAATAACTGATAAATTTAATGTACTTTAGTTTAGTACTGGCCGATTTTTCGAGCACATTGGAGAAGGCATTTCGATCAACTGTGTGTTGGGATCACATACGATTTTCAGAACCACAACCTGTAAATAAATTTCGGCCACACAGTACATGAAAGCAGCATAGAGACAGTGCCGAATTTAGACAAAGCTAGGCCCTAAGATACGGGAAGCTATAGAGGCCATATTTGGTATAAAATAAATTTGAGGGGCCCCTTCAAACTGAGTTCAGACTTTGAGGCTCTAAGCTGTAGCTTGCCTAAATTCGGTACTGCATAGAGACATGCGAACATTATCTTCAATCTGCACTTTCCAAATGCAAACAACCTCACCTTGCACCTGTCACTCTGACAGAAATGATATCGCTATCGCGAAACCTTTATAACAAGGGAAACAACCCATATGATGCTACCGTCATATATCGCAATGTTCAATCAGAAAATCATATATCCCTAATCATATGGAGATTACAGTAGATGACGCAAGTCAATAATACTCCACTACTGATGTATAAAAAGTGAAAAATAATCTCAACTGCTTGCGATTGTTTTTTTGGATATATTTCTGAAATGATACCATTATAAACTTAAGATACAAAAACCATCATTCACATAGGAAAAATGGCGGTTATTTTTCAGTGATTTTCTTAAAACTAAAAAAGAATGAAAAAGAATACTTGTTACACATCAATGGTAAAAAGAGTCACATAGATTCTGATACGCCAATCTCTCTAATTAATGAGGCATAATATAAACTGAAGATTAGATTTTTAGCAATAAAGATGTAATCTCTGTTTCAACCGTATTCCTTTGATACAAATGAAAATATCATCATCATATTATCTTTGAATGAAAATGGGAGGCATGATATAATTTTTTTAAAATCAAAGTCGTATAATTGCACAAAGTTCATTTCAAAAGAGTAGTCAGATTTTAGCTCATCTGACCGTAAGGCAAACGTAACTTACAATACGGTCCTTCGTTCATCTAGTTTCCTCAGTCGACATCGTCCGTTCACAATTCTTATTTCCAAATTCTTGTCAAAAACGTCTGGATCAATTCGTGCACGATTTTACTGGAATCATTCTGGTATCAATCAATTTCAAATATTTTAAATGGCTGCAGATGCTTTATTTAAAATGGTCGCCGTTATTTAAATAAATTTAAACTTCTCAAAAACGGCTTCACAGAAGTTTCTGATCAGCTCTTACAGTATGCATGATGGTGGGCGTTAATATTTTAAACAAATGATGCTTATCTGCAATCAAATATGGCTGCTTTCACTAAAAAAAAGAATCTTTCAACGATTTCCTCTCAAAAACCACTTAAAAGATTTGACTGAAATCATCCTCCCATAAAGCCCTTTCATTTTTTTTTTAACAAAAGAGACCACCGTTAAAAAAAAAAAAACAGAAGGAACATAAAGAAACAAAACGAAATTTTAGACTTCTCATAAAATGTTGCGATGAAATCGATGAAATTTGAACAAAAAGTTCTGGCATTATCGGCTTTCTAATTGTATAAATTATACCCGCTCATCATGAAACATAGATGATATTCTTAAAAAAAATAAAACTTCTAAATTACTTACATAACTAAATTTCATATGAATCATGAATTACTTTTTTAAATTTGTATAAAATGGTGTCAATCTGCCATCAAATATGACTATTACTACCAAGAACTGACAAAGTTTAATAACGTCCTTAAGACGAGCCTTTTAACAGGGTGGACAGAGTTCAACAAAAAAGTATCCACGCCATTTAACTCGAGAGCTTTCCACATCAATAAAAAAGATGTTTTTTTCGCCATAAAATATGATCGCCGTTCCTAAAGACAACTATATGTATCAAAAAGCCTTAATTTAACCAACTCTGAAAAAAACGTTACGTTCCAGAGGAATATCAGTTTATGACAACTGATGTCAACGTACCATCAAATATGGATGAAGACACACACACAAGACCCTGAGAAACACTAACACTTGTTTTTATAAAATATGCAACTTTACTGGAAGAAATGTTTACAGAAATATCCTACTGACCCAGATATTTCTGGTATACGATAGAAACGTGAGTGATCAAGGCCCACGTGAGCTTGTTTACAGTTATCTACCCAGTTACTTTTCCGCCTTGGGGTAGAGATGAAGAAAACGAGTGAGGGGTGTCGAGGAGAAAAAAAATACACTATTCACCGAGTGAAAAAGCTTTAAATGCATTGTGCGTTTGGTATACAAAATAAACCCATATTTCTTCTAGGTTTTCCTATCTTTTAAGCAAAGAATACCTACCTGAAATGATTTGTTTCAGCTGAAGATGAATGAACCAGAGGATTTAATTTTCTATCGACGATTACCCAATTACAAACGTAACTATCGTTACAACACTGGGTATTATTACTGAGTGCAGGCAAAACATCCACATGACGTCTTCTGATTTCTTTCCATCTCCTTTTCCTACGTCGAAAACGAAACCTCCTGATTCTTTAAGTCGAATATCTCTGTATCCATTTTTAATATTCTTGACATAAATCTATAATTAAGGTTTTAATTTATTTCACAGTGAGAGTATGGTCTAAACAAATTAATCACAACCCTAATATCTGATAGAGTTTTGTTTTTAAAAATGTAAACTATTAACGCCCAATTTAAGACTAGAACGAAAAACACGTAACTGCTCAAATTGATGTACAATCTATTACATATTTCATAGGGAATTTACAAATTAAAATTTCCTACCTGTGATAACTGTCATCGGTAACAATCCGAAATTTGTTTATTTAGTCGACTGGGAATACCTATTTCATCTCTGCGCGTGAGTGTTAGTCTGAGAATCTACCATCGTGGTATGAGAAAGTTTGCCAATACAATTAAACTGTCGGACTGTTATCGAACGGACTCTAATTGAAGTTAATTCATGTCCCAAACATAGTAGATCCCATTCCCTGCAACCAGAAATTTATTTCGAGTTTAGCCTATATGTCAAAACTTAATTTTTACGTGTCACACTGACAAAGATTGAATGTACTATGAAATTATCTACAAAATTTTGTACCATTACATATACCTGCGATATCTATCATTAGACCAGGAAGTTATTAACATCATGGTCGTTTTTTTTTTTTTTTAGTATAATTACACCTGAAGTATATACGGTTGGAGCTGGAAATTAAACTAAACGAGGAAAATAAATAACTGAAAACAGACAGAATGACTCATCTTTCTCGTGGATGAACTTCTTCCTGCTGTAAGTATTGAAGAAAGTTAGTACATGACGTAATTGATTGTAATACTGTTTTTTTTGTTCGAGTCACGCACTACGGTTCCATCATTTCTTTTAATTTAATAGAAACACGAATTTCATTTCTTCAATGCAGTGACCAAACCTGCTTACCTTCACACATACTTTCTACGACAATGAGTAAGTAACTACTGGGCTAACAGAAATAGTAGTAGCATTAGTAGCTGCAGCAGAAATAGCAGTATTATTAGTAGCAGCAGTAGTAAAAAGAAAGAAAAGCAAGTACGGAACTCTTAAACTGTAAAGCTCTATTTGGTTCTTTATGCGAAGTGAACTAAAATTACTTTTGTTAAATATAAGCACGAGATGATCGTAGAAACTATCTGATATTCACGCAGGCAGAGGACAAACAAAATTGGCAGTTTTAAAGTATGCAGTTAATACCCATGTATATTCATATGGTCAAATCTGAATGGATGTGTGTGTATTTGTGTGTGTAATTGTATGTGTGTATGTATGTGCGTGTATGTGTGTGTATGTGTGTGTGTGTGCACGCGCGAAACTACCTATCTACCTTAAACATCTAACACGGCAAACGGATCAAGATATTAAAATATATCGATAGACAGTGGCTAGCAGGAATAATATAAAAATATATTGTCGATTTTTAAGGGAGGTAAGTAAGCTGATGCACAAACATGTAAACGTGAATAATGTAAAACACCAAAATTATTAAAGAAAGTGTAGATTTAAAGTAAATAACTTTCCAAATGGAGATAAATTAGATACAAGGAACAGAGTCTCATCCTTTGCTACATAGTTTTCATCCACGCAATATATTGAAGGAGCATTGATAAATTACAACTAACATTACAAATAGCATTGATAAATTACAAATAACATTACAAATAGCATTGATAAATTACAAATAACATTACAAATAGCATTGATAAATTACAAATAACATTACAAATAGCATTGATAAATTACAAACTGCAGTGATAAATTACAAATAACATTACAAATAGCATTGATAAATTACAAACTGCAGTGATAAATTACAAATAACATTACAAATAGCATTGATAAATTACAAATAACATTACAAATAGCATTGATAAATTACAAACTGCAGTGATAAATTACAAATAACATTACAAATAGCATTGATAAATTACAAATAACATTACAAATAGCATTGATAAATTACAAACTGCAGTGATAAATTACAAATAACATTACAAATAGCATTGATAAATTACAAATAACATTACAAATAGCATTGATAAATTACAAACTGCAGTGATAAATTACAAATAACATTACAAATAGCA